GAGTTGAAGTCCACGAGTCATAAAAGACCAAAGGTTGCCTACCTCTGGTCTAGTTCCTTAGTCTAGTCTTTCACGGTAACTATAGCTCCTTTTATAAAAACTCTTTGGGGAAACCAAACTCCTTTTCAAAATAGAAAAGTTTCTAACAGGTTTTACATCTTTGTTTTGCCTCTTCTTGAAAATTTCCAGCAAAAGAGAGCCCAGCAGGCCATTAGAAATTGTGCCTCTTTGTTAAACTGTTCCTTGAATCAAGCAGTTTCTTCTTATGCTCATGTAGCAAAGACCACCGATGAAGAAGGGAAAGGAGGATAAACAACAAATTCTACATTTATGTTAACATCTTCTTTGAAAGGAGACGGTGTCTCGGTTTTCTGTAGAATGAACGTTAGAAATCTTTCTCAACTAAACTTCTCCTGGATGGCGTTTCAGAGTTGTTTATTTTAGTTTCACATAGTTGGATAAGACCTTGTCAAAGGTCAAATTTCCTTATATTTCATTTGTTTCTGGCATTACTCGTGCTCAAGCGCTACACTAAAGAAAGCAAATTGGATATTTCAATGTGTTTGCTTGCATCAGAGCTGGGGGTTTTTTGCATCATTTTGTAATCAATCAAATTCCTTGTGTGTCCAATCATACCGGGCCAATAAAGACCTGTTCTGTCCTGTCCTGTCCTGTCCTGTCCTGTCCTGTCCTGTCCTGTTCTATTCTGTTCTATTCATGTTCATGAGCTTCTGTGTGTAAGTGAAATATCTCCTGCCACTCCAATGGTGAGAAGGATGAGATGGGAAAGGCAGCATGGGTCCAGGATACAGTCTTCTATATGTCACACTATCAGCCCTGAACAATTTTCTGGTTGGACTGATTGCTATATAGTGGGTGTGTTGTAGGCTAGGCAGTGATGCAGTTTTCCATAAAACTAAAATGGACAATAGTAAAGGAATAGAAGAAAAGACAGATGTGGCTTAAAAATAACACAAGAGACTACCAAGAAAATAACTCATTGTGAATAGTTCCCTCCACTCCCGTATGTGGGTCTCTAATGATCAATTGTTCAGCTCTCTATGGTACTTGACATGCTGATGTTTCTAATTGTAGAGCAATACAGTTTAGTTCCCAAATGGAAACAGTTTTGATTTAAATGTGCAATTGAGGGCAATTGGGAGGGATGAGAGAGAGACAAAAAGCATAAAATGAAGGTTGATAGAAAGAAAAAAAGAGGATATATATCTGAAGCCCTAGTTGTACTATAGATGTTGTTGTTGTTGTTGTTATTATTATTCTAATTATTGTTACAGATGTTATTCTTATTATTTTTACTTTTTCTTTTTTTACTTATATATCTCCTAGACTTCTAGAAAATATTTCAGTTGCAATGATCTGAATTTGTACTTCCATCAAATGGGTGGACACACACACACACACACACACAATTTTCCAATACATTGTGGAAACCTTTCATTTTCAGTGTATTTTGGCAGCATTTTTGTTGTGGAATTAGTCTGTTTCCCTGTTGTATTATTTTTTTATTTTATATTATTTTTCTTTTATTTAATGTCTTATTGTTGTTTACAATTTAACCGCAAACTCCTCTTAAACACTTTGACGATATAAGCGACTTAATAGATTTTAATATGAAAAAAAAAAGATGTTGAAATTCAAATGTGCTCCGGTATTTCCCAACAAGTCAAAAATCATATCACAGTCAACATTTTTCACAGTCATATTTTATCCCTGCTCTGCTGTTTATTTTTCGGGGGGGGGGGGAGGTCTGTTGTTTTTGTTTCATTTTTCACTTTATTTTGACTTTTTTCTATTGGATGAAGCATTTAAAAATGTGATTCTAAATTCCAGTATTTTATACTTGGATTCTGAAATACCAAGTTCTTGTCTGCGTAAAAATTTACCCCTTAAAACATTTGGCCATTCTTCTTTGGTAGAGAAACTTCCAAATTGCCCAAGAAATGGAGACAATTACGTGGAGTTTAAAAATGGTAGTTTCCAATCAAAACAAAAAAAGAAGGATGCAATTAAAAAGTCCAATGAAGTTCTGGCCTTCACTTTGAGTTTACAGGTTGAATTTTGGATCCACTTCTTAAAAGTGTCTTAACACTCTTTAATCTAAGCGAGAAAAGCTGCCTGTCAAAATCTGATACTCTTCACCTACCCAAGATTGTTTTGAAAATTCATTTGAACGAATACATGTTCGTGGCATTTATTTCTACTAATCCATAAAAATTCACAGTGATTCCCATCAGGCTGTATGGATGCATAGGACTTCTCCCCAAAACCTTTCTGATGTAGCAACAGCACTAGCACTTAGACTTATATACCGCTTCACGGTATTTTACAGCCCTCTCTAAGTGGTTTATAGGGTCAGCATTTTGCCCCCAACAATTTGGCTCCTCATTTCACCGACCTTGGAAGGATGGAAGGCTGAGTCAACCTTGAGCCGATGAGAATTGAATTGTCGAACTGCAGACAGCCGGCAGTCAGCAGAAGTAGCCTAATGTACCGCATTCTAACCACTGTGCCACTATGGTTTGCTGAAATTGATAAGGAAGCTGCTCCTTCTAGATTTATTATGAACAACTACCAAGTCTTGTCACGACAGAAGACTTAAGTTGTGTTGGTCTTTGTGGGGACCGGTCCTTGCAGAAAAGTGGTCATCTCACAAATGACCCTATCTGTTGCAAGGACTATCTATTACACCGGCTGGAGCAAAGTTCCAATTTCTGGATTATAGAGCATTGTCCCTTTTTTGGACAAAAGGCGGAGGAGGCATGTGTTTCATTGGAGAATAGTAGAATAAAGATAGGACTTACTTCTAACTTTTGCTCTTCTCAATTCCATTCTTGCAACTCCATCAGGTAAAAAAAAAGGGGTACAGAAAAAGACTGGCAGTTGTGAGAGCTTATCCTCTTTAGATTAAGGATTTTCCAGTGCCATATTCAAGTATTTTAAAAAATATGTCATTAATCTATGCTTTAAAGAGATAGTTGGGAAAGTGCAAATGAATAATAGCCAAGCAACTTCCAAATGTTATCCCCCAAAGTTTCCATCAGATACAACCAGTCAGGAAAAAAAAAATCAGGACGAACAGTGATGCTTATGAGGACAGTGATTGATTTAACAGAATAACAGCATTGGAAAGGACCTTGGAGATCTTCTAGTCCAACCCCCAGCATGGCTCAGCATGGAAATCTCTCCCTTTCCCCTCAGCATGGCTGGCTCAGGAATTCTGGGAGTTGAAGTCCACGAGTCATAAAAGAGCCAAGATTGCCTACCCTTGCCCTATACCATTTCAGACAAGGAGCTGTCCAGTCTCTTCTTAAAAGCCTCCAGCGATGGGGCATCCACATCTTCTGAAGGCAAGTTGCTCCACTGGTTAATTGTTCTCACTATTAGGAATTTTCTCTTTAGTTCTAGGTCACGGGTGTCAAACTTGCCACGTGACGTGTCACGATGTATCGTGACTTTTTTTGCATTGCCGGCAATGGGCGCGGCTTCGGTATGTTGACACCGGCCTGCAGGCTGACAGTTTGACACCCCTGTTCTAGGTTGTTTCTTTCTTTGATTAGTTTCCATCCATTGTTTCTTGTCTTGCCTTCTGGTCCTTTGGAAAATAGGCAACCCTATTGTGGCAACCCCTCAAATATTGGGACACTGCTATTGTGTTGCTCCTAGTCCTTCTTTTTCACCAGACAGAATAATAGAATTTCAAGCCACTTAAAAAGCTTTATCTGGAGATTTCAGCAAGGGTGTTCCAAAATGATATGTAAATGTTTATCTCGTACATAATCTTGCTTTGAGATACACCTGCTACAGATCTTCTGTTTAAATTACATAGGCTTGTTCTTTTATCCTCATTCTGAACAGGATGGGCATTTCATTTTGCAAAACGCTTTAAAAAAACAACAATAGCTGAACAAATATCAAAATATTATAATCAATAAGATAACATATTAATAAAATGATTTCCTTAAATGTTAAAATAGGAATAAAAAAAATAGAGCTCATATAAAGCAGTCGGTAGACAAAAAAGAAAATTTAATAAGATAAGAAAAATTCTTCAGATCTGGTTCCATATAAATCTGGTGTGGGTGTGTGCGTGTGCGTGTGTGTGCGTGCATATCTGTTTATGTGTGTGTTCATCTATAATGCATATTGATTAGGCAGATGAACTTTCCTAGGGAATCATTCTAGGGCAATGAACTTCATCTTTTGCTGCTTACTGGAAATTGAGGGACCTTGTGACTTATGCTTTGATGATTAGAAAGAATTGATTACAGAAAGAAAGGAATTATGATGTAATCCTGAAAAGATCTACATAGCTCATCTTTGGCTCTTATATTCTATTGTGGAACATTATTGCATTGGCTTATGGGTGTAGGAAACCCGTTACTTCATTTTGGAAATCTAACTACATTGGAAATATGCATCCATTTATCAAAGTAGGGGACAGCATGAGAAAGAGCAAGAAGATGCAACAGGTCTTACTAATTAGCAAGATGGTTATTATATTGCTTGACTTGAGATGAAGCATCAGGGCTGTTGTAAATACAAGATTGTGTTCCTGCATTCCATATGTATCATGTACGTCAATTTAGGATGATACAACAGCATTTTCTGCCAGTTCTGGGGATTTGCAAATTAATAATGTGGGAGGAATATGCAGAATTCAGTCCTCCAAAATCCATTCCTTGTGAACTCAGCATCTGCTATGTAAAATGGCCACCACAATCTACCTAATAGTAGAGATAGCCTTAGAGAAATAAATACTACTAGTTTTTGTTCCAGACATTTGGCAAAGAAGTGGAGCAACTGATAGCTGATCCCAACAAAAGCCTTCCCTCTCTCTACTAGACATGTTAGCAACATTGCATTTACTTCTTTTAATATGTTCTCTTTGAGGAGGAGCTGTTTCTTCCGTCCTCAAGATACCTCTACAATTGATCATTGCTACTGTTGCTGCTGCATTAGTTTCTTTTTTTTCTTGACAGTTTAACAGGTACAACCGTCCCTGATCTGATTGTCAGCACTCAACACCAGATGTGGCTCCTCTTCCAGACTGATAGCGTGAGGAACCTACTAGGGTTCAAAGCAACCTATGAAGGTAAATCAAATTTCTGCATTGATTCCTTATTTTACAGACCACAATCCACAACTACTTTACCCGGAGATCTTTTGACAAGAAAAGGTATAGGTAGGTCTTTGTAACAATGAAGGACAGTACATGTCAATATGAGTAGTTCTCAACTTACAACCACAATTGGGACAGGAACTTCCATTGCTTAAGCAAGTTAAGTGAGTCACAGTTGATTTTATGACCTTTTTTTGCCATGGTTGTTAAGTGAAGCATGTGGTCATTAACTGAATCTGGCTTCCCCCATTGATTTTGTTTGTCAGAAGCCAGCTGGGAGGTCACAAATGGTGATCATGTGACCCTGGGATACTGCAACCATCATAAATGTATACTAGTTGCTCTGGGCTTAAATTTTGATCATCTGACTCAGGGGTCTTCAAACTTGGCCCTTTGATGACTTGTGGACTTCAACTCCCAGAATTCCTCCACCAGGCACGTTGGCTGAGGAATTCTGGGAGTTGAAGTCCACAAGTCATAAAAGGGCCAAGTTTGAAGACCCACGATCTGACTGCAGAGATATTGCAACAATCATACATGTGAGGATCTGTCATAAGTCACCTTTTTCAGCAGTGCAATAACTTCAAATGATCACACAATTAATGGTTGCAAAGCAAGGCATATCTTTAAGAGAGAGAGGTTCATTGCAGTAGATTAAATATATGCATAGTTTCTCCAATCTGATACCCTCTAAATATGTTAGACTTCCTGTCCTCTTAGTCCCATGGCTAAGAGCTGGAATCCAGCGCACCTGAAGATTACAGCATCTTGTATCTTACACTAGTGGGTTCTGCACTAGCATCACAAAAGGAGATGAAATTGCTCATCTTAAAAATAAAGTAAGCAATATTCTGTCTCTAAAAGAAAGATGCTCTCGGATAAGAGAAGGGATTTCATTCAGCATTGTTGAGGTAGCTGTAATAATAATAATAATAGTAGTAGTAGTAGTAATAATAATAATAATAGTAATAATAATAATAATAATAATAATAATAATAATAATAATAATAATAATAATAATAATAATAATAATAATAATAAAAGTTGGAAGGGACCTTGGAGGGGATAGGCAGCTCTTCATTGCACCCAGTGAGGACTGAAAGCTTAAAGCTTAAGATTTTTTTTAAGGTAAATTATCCTTCAAATTAAGGTTGAACCTTCGTGATTTCATCAACACATACTTATTATGTTTGCAGTAGCATTTTCATTTTGGGATGGAGGGACTTCCTAATGAAGATTTCAACCCTGGGTTTTTCTAGTGGCCCCTTACCCAAGCAATGTCAGCTTCCAGGCAGAGAGCCCTTCGCAGACTCAACTCTGTTTAGCGTTTGAACCCAGTTAAAACTGATGAGGTGCTGCCAATACAATTAAATAATTGGAATGAGAACTGTAGCAAGTAGTTAAAGCCTTCCCATTACTTGTGTGTGCTAGGGTCACAACCCAAATCGTAATACCCCATTGTCAGTTTCCAGAGAGAAAACATGACGCCGAAGAATAGAACGGTACAATTAAAGTCAGCTCATGGCTTATTCAAAAGGCTGATCTTGGAGGAAAAAGGATGAACTCTTCCATGTATTTCAGAGCAGCCTTTTATCTTGTGACACAAGCATACATCAGCACTCCTTCTACACAACTTGTTTCTGTTTGCAATCCATGCAACCTGTTTTCCCTGAGGCAAATGTCCTTTCATTTGAACCAGATCAGTGGGATTTTCTACAAGCTGGATTTGATGCTTCTTAAAGTTTGCTGGGGGTTATGAGAATCAATGATGGCAAGAAACCAACCTACATATTTTAGGACTGTTTTTCCAACATGGTCCTCTCTAGATCTATTGAGCTTTGGCCATTTATTTGGACATCTCATGGATGCATTCCTACAATTTCTTGTCTTTCTCAATATTTCTTCAACTTCCATCCTACCATAAGCTCGAGTGTTACCTCCAGATTTCCCATCCACGAACCAACCAGGTTCTGGTGAGCTTTTCAAAGGCAACCAAGATTGATATATTTTGCACAAACACACACATGAATATAAGGTCTAGTTTATTAATTCCACTAATTAAAGCCTTCAAAAATCAAGTATTCTTTGAGTTGAGCTGTACCTCTGATGACATTCTGGGTATGGTAGCATCTTGTAATTTCTTGCAGCTAAGCAGTACTTTCAGAAGTAGTATTTTCAGAAGTACTAGTGGGGAGCAAAAAATGAAAGAAAGGGATGTTAAGTCCTTAGCTGATTGGTTGTTTTGCTGCTCTATTTCCTGATATCTCCCACATTTTGTAGACAATGTCAAAAATGGGTTTCAGTGCCTTAATACAGGCTGGACTGAAGATAATTTTCTTCCTAAAATGACAGGAAAAAAAAAAAACATCTGACCAAAGTGAACACCCTAATATTTTTATAGGATGGGAAATGTAGTAAAATGTCTAAGTTCAAATAAAGTCCATGATTATGCAGGCATGTCTATGCTCTTTTCTTGACAGTGATACGAGTAGAGTTTAATTGTAGTACCCTCTTGGATGTTTCTTCAACTTTCTAATCTAATCACCAATCCCAGACTTTTCTGGGAACTTCCACCAAAGGACCAACCACATTTTCTGAGATTAACCAAAGTCAGTTATGAACTGGGCTAGCTAAAACTTCTAAAAGAAGATAATTTCATTGCTAGACTAGGTAACACCATCAGTCCTAGTGAGTGTAGGGTTTGTTCCCTGTTTAGAAACAGTAATTTGCCTGACTAGTATTGGGGTAGGTGTATGTATGGGGGAGGGGATTTTCTCCTGAATAGTCTTTGATTAAGGTATTGTTTTCTGCTAGATTTTTTGTCTGGTGTTAATCCCTGCTTACCTGGGTATAGAATGCTGGAGAGACTGTATTCTGGTCTGTTTCCTTTTTATTTATTTTTTTAATAATCTATTATGAATGGTGTGAACATGGAGTTTATCTCTATGTGTCTGCTGATGGCAGATTTGTCTGAATCCTAAGCTTCCAGGAATTCCATAGCATTTTTGGATTTAGCTTAGTCTAGGACAGACATGACACCTCCCGCCTGGACTACTGTAATGCTCTATACATGGGGCTCCCCATGAGGAGCATCCGGAGGCTTCAGCTGGTCCAGAATGCGGCCGCGCGGGCGGTGTTGGGAGCGACGCGTCGCTCCCATGTAACGCCGCTGCTGCGCGAGCTGCACTGGTTGCCAGTGGCCTTCCGGGTACGCTTTAAGGTGTTAGTTACCACCNGACCTAGGGTGAATTTTTAAATAGGGACAATTTTTAATGATTTTAAACAAGACACAGCTACAAATATTTGGTTTTTAATTGGCTTTTATAGGGAAATGTTTTGTATTGTTTTTAATATGCTGTGAGCCGCCCTGAGTCCCATGGGGGAGAAGGGCGGCATATAAGTCTTATTATAAATAAATAAATAAATAAATAAATGTCAAACTCGCGGTGTCACGTGGCATTGCACAACGTATTGGGACAGTTTTGCCATTTCCGGCAATGGGGTGGGTGCGGCTTTTGCGTGATGTGTCCGGCCCGCGAGCTGGCAGTTTGACACCCCTGGTCTAGGATGCTCACAGTTTTCCAGTCGAAACTACATTATGATTGAGTCTGCCTAGGTTATTGTGAGATTAAGGAGTTTTGTTATGACTGCTAGTTGGTGTTCATGGATGTCTTCTGCTGGTCTTCAGTTACAAGCAGAACAAGTCAACTTTTGTCCCATTATTTTATTCATTACTTTGCAGCCATTCCTCCTAGATTGGACACTTTCTTCATCTACTTTTCAAAAGAAATAGATGAAAACAAATGGTTTCTGCTGAAATAGACAGATAATATGGCTCCCTGCATGAAACGCATTCTACGTTTCTGAATCTTTGAGGTGAACATTTGTCAAGTATGCAAATGATAATTATTTTTACTGTATTTCCCCCACACTTCTTCCCTTGCTTTCTGTCACTCTTCCAGACTGGCTGTTATTGAACTCTTAATGATTTCAAAACTTAATAGAGTGAAGATTAAAAGGGGGCAACAACTCACATTGCTAGCTTGACATTTTGCTCCAGCCATCTGGAGCTTAAGTTGGTTTACTTCCCCCCCCCTCCTTGACTTTATGAGGCTTCCTTTGTAAAACTGAAATATGAAAATGTGGGTCAAGATAAGCTGCACCCCTACCGGAGTCCCACAATAAAATGTTCTGCTTTTCTTCTAACCAGAAATAAGTGGAACTTCATCCCCTCCAAGTTTGTGTTAGAATTGTTTCATCTTAAAGATGTAAAGCTTGTCAGTGGTTTATGAATGTGTAGAACAGTTGTTCCCCTTTTTTCTCAATGAGAAAATTTACATCTGTAGTGAAAAACTCTTTGCAGCATGCACTAAATTTCAGTGATGCTTGATCTCTTTCTGTGGTCTTCAAAATACTTCAATGCACCCTTTTCTAGTCATATCCCAATTTCAACGGGGGAATGTTGTTTTTAGCCATATAACACAGCTAGGGACAATAGCCTGGAATCAAGGAATGGATGCTTTTGGAACAGAATCTTGAAATGTGGCCCTGGAAAGGATAAGGCCCCATTTGAACCCTGAGATTATATCTTCATTTAAAGAAGAAGAAGAGTTTTAAAGGTGAAAATAGAAGATTGAGGATCTTCACTCCTTCCTCTTATTCTTCAAGGATCTGAAACAGGGGTCTGCAGGTGTGGAATCCAGATGCAGGACCCAAAGCAAATAATCAAGACTCATTGTAGTCTTTATTAAACAGTACGTAATGGAGGGGACCCCACAAAAGATTAGTGAGTCACCTCTGCAAATGAAGAGATGCACTGATATTTAGACTTTTCAGAATGGAGGGGACAGTAATGTAAAGAATGGAGGGGGAATTATGCACGCATACATATTCATAAGTAATAAAGTAATAGATCTCAGTAATAGATTTCCTGCCCTTCTGCTTTCTACAGAAAACAATAGTCTTTGTTTCAT